TTCTTTGTACATACATATAAGTCGCTTTACAGCACTCCCTCGCGTTCTACGACTCCTAACCTCCACTGCTCTCTGCACGATGGTCGTGACCATCGTGCATGACTTTTCTTTGTACTGCCGATAAAATACGGTGAAATTTTCAAACAGATTCAACCAACAATATCTCTGTCAGAAAATTATTCCTAGTAGAAATGAATTTGGGCCATATGAACACCTCCTAACCATAACATCGCCGATTTTAGCTCCAGATTTAGATGTATTTTATATCAAAGCAACAGCATGGCAAGGTTAGTACAGGTGCAGCGGATGATAACAGATAGCCATCAAAAGTTGACATGAACATGAATCTAACCCCCCTCCCCTCCCCCACATATAGTTGCCGCCATTGTTTTCGATCCCAGAGGATCTCCATGCGGTCCATTGTTCATAAAGGTACTTTAATTATTTCTACTTCGGAGACGCCAAGTGATTTGTCACGTGTGTGTCGGCTTCGATCCAGAAAAGGAGACCTGGCGGCGACGGACTCCCAATATGATTGCACCGCAACTGTCTCTCGTTTGAACTCTCCCTTTAATTTGTGAACGTTGCGATTCGACGCGACTATTTTTGGACGTCACGGCGCTGAGGGGTGGCAACGGCAACGACGCACACTGGATCGAGTCAGCGGGAGAGGTCGGACAACATTTCGAAAATTTAAACGCTTAAAACTCCGTTTATACAAAACTTTGAGGTTCTGAAAGTGGTTTCATTGGTTTCCTCACAAATTTTTTTTCATTTAGCACCTCTTCAAATTTAAATTGTAACGAATTAAACATCAAAATTTGAAAGTTTGGTAAAAAATTTCATGTCCGACCTCTCCGATTGACTCGATCCACTGTGCGGCGCTCCGTGTTCGCGGGTCTTTTTTGACTCGCCGCTTTGTTTGTTCTAATGAATGACATTTACAACTGACTCGGCTGCGTCTCTTTGAAGATTCAGCTGATAGTCTTGAGTCGCTCGCCGCTCTCCAGCTTCCCTTGGGCCTCCCACTCCGACCCTTTCCTTCCCACCTCGAGGCACACACCGCACACCGACTCTCTCTCATCTCGTCTCGCCCGATGAGGACCATCAAAGTTGTGTCAAACACCTTCCCCCGTCCACGGACGCCGAACTTTGCAAGGATACTGCCTTAGTGGTCGCTAAAGTACCTGTGTCGGGAGAGTATTGCCATCTCAATCCTTTTACTATAGAAAAAGTGTGCCGCTCTCTAATTGGTAGGCTATCATGGAGCCCCAGAGTTGGCCCGACGTAAACAAGCCCCAGCCTTTCCGCTTCTAGTTTGGCCCAATGTAAAATAAATGGCGAAAAATTTCTACCAAGTTCTAGACGTGATTTTGGGTGCGACAGAAATTTTTATATATCCAACTTCTGAATTGAGTTCGGATCTAAATTTGATGAATATTTTTGCCGAAAATTAAGCTTTGAGTGTGATTGTCATTCATTTCTCAGCCGATAATACGTGTTCCTCTCGGTCAGGTTTGTTTACACTGGGCCAACTTTGGAGCTCCATGATAATAACCTAAAACTGATGAGCCAATCAAAGAGCGGCACAGAGATGACAATACCCAAACTAGGATAACTATAGATGACTCTCCCGTACACAGGTACTCCAGTATTCGCTCACAAGCAATTTCGAGAACGATGTGACAGTCAATCGATCAAATGATATTATTTGGATTTGGGGATATTTTTCAAAAATCTCGAGACATTACATCACGCTCAACCATGCGTCAGGTATTTTTATACAAGATACCAATGAGATTCAGAGTAAAATAATCTCGGAATGATTCCTCGAAGAATATCGTAACATGTTCATTATTTTGATTTTGTTTGGAAACTGAAGAAATGACCACAGGATTGAAACGCGTTACTCGTAAAACGCGCTTTTTCAGGAGAAAAAAAGTCTACGTTCCTCATTTTTGCCGGTGGAATGTAATATTTTTTTTTTTTTTTTTTTTTTTTTTTTTTTTTTTTTTTTTTTTTGCGGTGTGTAGCAAACTAAAAAATGGTGCAACATTCTCCAAGTATTTTTGAATGTAACTGTAACCTTACCTAATTGGAATTATGAAAAAAAAAACAACACAGATTTTTGTTGCTCTAGTGCAACATCCCACAGAAAGGGACCACAAATCTTGAATACAAATTCTCTTGTTAAAATCAACAATAAAAATATTTAATGGCGCGTTTTGTATACGGAGATAGATCTCCTGCGATATTTTTTCTTTTCTCGGGAGTTGAAAAGTTTGAAAAAAAAGCACAATTAATGAACTCTCATGATACATCCTTCAACTAAAGCCAATCTTACGCATCACGGTTCCTGCATTCGCCTTCAATTGACAATGTAGGCAAAACGCGCTCCTAAGAGTTAAAATAGTGGTATCACGCATTAAATCCAAATAAACCAGAGAGTAGAATATGGATACTTGATAAGGCATTATCAAATGAACGTATTTATGCCAAAAGGAACTATGTCTCAAGCAAACCATATGCACATAGTTCTTTCTGGCATAAATACGTCCAGATGAGGTTGAGACGCGGCTGAAATGGTCTTGCATATGCAATGATTTAAAAGCTAACGAAATATTGTTTTTATTATTTCTATTTTAATTTATGCTTTTTTATGACTTCACTGGTAGTAAATAAATATTAGGACTGATCGACGAAAAACTGTCTAACATTTCAGGATCAATTTAAAAAAAGAGTCTATTAATTGATCCTATTTTAGATTATATTATTGTATAAGGTCTTAACCTGCTGAGCAAAAATGCATCATAACTCGATTTTTGAAGAAAGTGAGATTGCAGTCTTCAATCCTTTGTGCTTCAAATAAAAAACTGTTATTTTTTATCACTCTCGTGCGAGATTTGAAATAATTGCTCTTGGTTCAATTCGTCATTCCTCTCACGAAAGAACGTAACTAGATTTCAATTTTGCCAAATTTTCCCCTCGCAAATTGCATTTTCATCGGGAAAATTTCGGTTATATCTAACTGAAAATCTCACCGATTTTTCTCCTGATCTCGTGCACGAATCACAACAATTTTAGATCAACGTTGAGCAGGTATACAATCATATAAAAAATTAAATTATTCGAGCCAATTTTGCAACCTTGGAATGCAGTTACGTTCCATCGTCCTGGAAGCAACGAAGTGTCCTCGCGCTAAATCGGAGTTGGTTTTGATTTATACGGAAATGGTTGGTCGCGGGCTTTAAGGGCACTGTATCCAGTCAGGACGTTGATAACAGGGGTGCTCGGAGAGAACTTAAGACCTAGAGCCGATGACAAATGGGCATCTGTCGATCAGCTACTGAGGGATTCGGATGCCACGAGGATAATTAAGACGCCCAGCGTCAACCAGACAAGAGAGTCACTTAATCCTACTTTTCCACTTTCACCGGAGCCAGTCCACCGGTATCGGTTTCGGTATCCTGATAAAACCCTTACCCCCTCGAACAGCTATGTTGCTGTTAAGAAGGAACGTTGCCTAATTTCCTCCAATGAAATATTATTGGGGGGCGGGGGAAAGTCATAGGTCATTGCACCACATTCAGCTGAGTGCTGAGTGAAACCAATGCCATTATAGCATTGTAAAAATCGGGCATCTTCGCCTTACTCAAAAAAAAAAAAGAAAAAAAAAGCAACTAAGAATAGCATGTAGTTTGAATTTTTCCTGAAAGAAATTTTTAATTTTAAATGAGAGCTATCGTGTAAATTTCATTACTGTGATTATATTTAGTAGTAGTTTTAAAGTATGGAAGATATAAGTTGTACGAAGTTGAAAGCACTGTAGGTTCCCTTGGCTTCATGGGCGGAAAGAGGAGGGGGGGGGGCCCTTCCCAGAATTCTGCTCGGCCCCTTCCAAAAAATGTCAAGGACCCAAGCTACTAATTAGTTTTGAGATAAAAGGTACAGGGAATGTAATATATATGAGCTTAATCCGAATATAATCGATCAAAGATCAGGGTATGAAAATTTCTCGCAAAGAGAGCAGCTTCCTCCGATTAAGAAACGTGGAATGTAGTTGAGTTGTAGTTTCTTTTCTTTTCATTTTTGCGCAATACTTGGGTTCATGAGAGTTAAGCTAAGATTAATTAAATTTAAACCCACAGTAAGATATGATATTTTTAAAAACAAATGAGCATTTCTTTCATGTGTAATATTTCATTCTGTTTAATTTGTCATTGAGAATGGCGTAAAATTGCTCTCGAGAATTTCCAATTTTCAAACATTTTCCGGGGAAGGCCCCTCGAGCCCCATTCTATAACTGAGAGAGTCCCCCAGACCCCTTTTAGCCCAAGTTCTATATCCTCCTGTATTCCCTCCCCGACAGAAAATTCCTACTTCCGCCCATGCTTGGCTTTGGTTCCCCTCTCTTATTTGCGATCCATTTCACCGTAAAATTTTTCCATGATTTAATAGCAGATAAAATTCTCTGCTAAACAAATCTGCACACAAGCTAGTCATTCTCAAAGATGAGTTCTGAAGCTCAACTGCGCAGTGCCGTAAAACTAGCTACTTCTATCTGAGCAGCCGAATTTCCATATTACTGGCTACGACCGAGTCGAGGCCAGGCGGGAGAGGGGGAAGTGGTAAAAAAAAAAGAAAAAAGGCAATGACCGATTTGAGTGGATTGGTCTTAATTCGTCGAAAACTTCTCCGGGGAGAGACCCTCTTAAGCTTCAAGAAATGTCTAATTTTTCACAGGAAATTTGGCAACGCCCGAAAGCTCATACGGCGTTCTTCCCTGGCACGACAGAACGGGTGGGGCAATTATTACGCTCCCGCGGTTGAGTTACGCGTCGCGACGCGGCGGGAGGTATCAATAGATCGACAGGACTTACAGCTGCTGAAATCTCGGGTCTCGACGGATCCGCCCCTAGCGCCACCTGCCGACGGCTCCCGCAAGCTCCATGCGCTCAGCGAGGAAATTGTTTCGGCCAAACTTCAGTTTCCGGTGACTTTTGACGGAGGAAGGCGCGCGTACCGACAGCGGTCTCCAAGTTCACCTAAACACGATTGTTTACCTTCCATAAACCTCTCCTCTAACTTCAAAGAGATCCCAGTATCAATTTGTTCGCCTGTGGATTTTAGAGTTAAGAGCCCTCTCCAGTGTTCTGTTTACTGTTGTATTAAATCGTCTTTTAACTTGCCGCTGAATCTCTTCTTTCGGTCTTTCTGTTGCTTTTTGCTCGGGGGAGCATGTGCTTCGTTTGTTTTTGGTTTACTGTTCAGTGAATTTTTCAAAATGCTGATTAAATTTTGATCATCCTCCGAGGGATTGCTTCCTGAAAGGTAAGACCCTCCACCGGAGTTGATACAGAACTTTGAGTGACTGCGCTTCACGTAATTCATCTACTCTTGACTGTTTTTAGGAAAAGTGAAAGATCTTTTTTAGGAGCAGGAAAAAAACTGTTTATTAAAAGGTGTCAACGTGATCATACATGGACTTTTCATCCAAAAATTTGTATTTATCAAAATAATTCTTCAATTTGATTTTTCCCTCAATGTTGTAGCGAGGAAATAGAACTTACTAATTAGTTAGGTTATATTTTTTTGACACCGTTTCGTAAAATCAGTTCCATCTATCCATGAGTTTGAAGAGAGCTACATTAAACTGAAGCTTGGCATCAATTCGCTCCACTCGAAACTACATCCATGAAAAAGAATTCAGTACAACTTTAGGTACGGTGTCACTTGTGGAGAAATATCAATCAAGCAATGAACGATTTCGTATCTCTTTCAGTCTCTCGGAAGATCTGCATAATTCCTTCATGGTGGATATGCTCAACTTTTATTTTCATTCCATGACAGTGACAATGTAAAGAGCTTGATTTGGTTGGCATCTAGGTCCAAAGCATTTCGACACGCGTTGTATATAGGAAAACTTCTAACTCAACCCAATAAAGAACTTTAATCAGCCTAATTAAAATCCCCCGGACACATTATTTTGGAAGACAGACAATTGTTAATATTGATCCATAATGACGAATAATACACTTAATTGTCTTTTAAATCCCTAAATCCTTCATTTTATGAACATGTTATAAAATGGAATCGAATCAACATTTTAGATTCTCTGATTTTTATTGAATTACGGATATTGGTCGCTTGCGTAGATTCTCGCATCGTTTAAAAACTTGTTTAAATTTTTAAAGGAGTACTTAGTGGGTAAGGCACAGAAATGTTACCTTTACGATATTATGTGGTAACATTTTTACAAAACAAAATCTTGGTTATCAGTGTTTGCTACACTCCCATGCCTCTGGCATTAGAACTAAAAAAACATCGATTCTGATAGTGACAGGTTGTTTCTACGTTCTCAGGAGATTTTCTCGTGAAGTTGAGGCGAATTTGAGTAAGCCAACAGCGAGACGTCTTGCTAACTTTGCCAGAGTATTGGTTTCCCTCTAAGTTCATGTCATGAAACGGATCCCAGTGCCTTACCTACTCCTCATACCAGCTTCTTCTTCCAAAAAAATATCTTTTGTAACTCTCGAATCAAAGTTGAAAGTGTTCGGAAACGAAAATTTCAGTCAGCAAAGTAAACGAAAGGAAACTCCGCATTCGGATTAGCTTTATTTTAAGGTCTACAGAATAGTTTTTTTTTCGTAAACACTGGAAAAAACACATTGAATCTAGAGCCCAGACTCTTGAAAACATTGACAAGAAAAAATACTCTTGATTCAATCAGATTTTAGCTTAAATCAAAAGGAAATCCGCTCAAATTAAGAGGCTTTGGTTCTTGATTTAAGCTTAGGTAAATCTGATTGAATCAAGAGTATTTTTTCTTGTCGATGTTTTTAAGAGTCTCTGAGTCTGGACTCTAGATCCAATGTTTTTTTTTTTCAGTGTTCTTCTGAGATTTTTTTTTTTTTTTTTTTTTTTTTTTTTTTCCAGTGAAGAAATAGCCAAAATACAGATTTAGGTGTAAGTGATGAGTTCATTTTTTGCCAAAAATAGGTACAGTAAAAACAGTGATTTCGCAAATTTTTTTTTGACATCTAGATGTTGGTTTACTTCTGGTGCAGATTCACTTTGAGTCCTCCATCGAACAATTCCGGCGAATATGAATTAGAGACTTCGCCGCATTCTTCAGCATTAAAGACGCAAGCTGATGTTCATACTTTTTTCCAATTCCACAGAGAGGCGCTATAACGACGCTGTGATGTGCAAAAAAATTGCAACTTACAAAAATGCCAAAGTTTCTTCTTTGCCTTGCAGAACCGTCAGTTTGCAAATAGGCGGTACTGTTCCCTGGCCATCGCTATAATGCTCGATCGTTGTCTGCTGTTGTAACTGCAAAGTTAGCAAGTGATTCCTCTCGTCATTATAATCGGAAGCGAGCATTTCGAAATAATGAAGGGACCTCGAGGATTAGCGGGAGAGCCCAAAGCGACTGGAGATAAATTTGATTTCCGATTCCCCGCGAGTTCCAACCGAAAGCGGTTCGAGTCTCGGCCTGGCGCGGGCGCGGCAAGCAGGTGCATGGGAATATACCGCTTTCGTGAATCACGAGGGAATCGTTTCAATCGTCTTACCTTTCGAACCCTGCGCCCGCTCCTAGCCTCCTCCTCCTCCCAATTAACCGACCGGGACCTGCAGAAACAGCGAGCCAGTCAAGCAAAAAATCGCTAACTCCCGGTTTCTATTTCAGCTCGATATTTCCGAGAGTGAACATCATCTATGTTGCGTTAGCTGCTCGCACAGTTCGTGCTCCCCGAACTTCCCCCCCCCCTCCCCCACCGATTGACCCCAAATCTTTCAGAAATTTTCTCGCTCAATTCCGGAGAAATGTACAATTTTACGTGACTCCGGCGCGCAGAAAAACTGTCCGAAGACTCGAGGTGAATTCAAGTGATCCTGGGCGAACACCGCGAGGGCTGAGGAACAATACTAGCTGCCGTGCTTAGGAAGAACGCCGTATGAACGTTCGAGAGTTGCCAAATTTCCCCAAATAAAACATATATTTTTGACGAAATTTATGTACATTTTCACTAAAATTTTCAGATATTTTAGATGAATTTGCAAACAAAATAGTCTGAAAAATCGGAAGAAAAATATTTACAATTTCTTCAATAAATTCATATTTTATCAGAGGAAATTTGGCAACGCCTGGAGGTTCATACGGCGTTTTTCCTTGGCATGGTAGAATACTGCCTAATTGGAAATTTTGGCTAAAATGAGTTAGCGACTTTGCCGCTTTCTACAGTATAAAATACGCAAGCTGATTTTTCAAGTTTTTTTTCCAATCCTGCACACGAGCCCAATAATGACGCTGTTATGTATAAAAAAATAGCATATCCATCTAAAAATTGCAAAAAAGCCAAGCTTTCTCTTCGTCCTGCAAAATATTCGAGTGCAGTTTCGATATCAGTATCGAATGCGACATTTTTCCTCCAAGAAAAAACACGCCTTTATTACGTTGAATTTGTGTGTCAAAATTGGTAAGCGAATCCTTTCGTATCCTGACAATAGAATTGCGATATCAGAATTCGAGAAAAATGACGAGTACACCGAAAAAAATTTCTCGGCGTTTTTACCAAGGTCCGTTGGTACCTTTACCATCTCACTTTTTTTTACCAATTATTGGTAATTTTACCAAGACCGGTAAACTTACCTAAAAACCGGTATTTTCACTGTTTTTTTCAGGTATGAATACCACTTTTATTGGTAATCAATTCCCGGTAACTTTGCCATTTTATCTCGGTAATTCTACCATAGTCGATAAAAAGAATGGCGTGTTTACCAAGGTCCAGTAAAATTACCAATTCCATAAATGGTAATTTTACCAAGAAAAAACTGGGATCAAATAGAACCCTGAATTCTTGGTAATTTTACCCTTTTCTTAGTAGATACACCGAGATTTTTTTTTTCAGTGTAGTTGAAGCAATGGAAACAAGCGATGCGATATATCGCATGTTGTTCTGACACAAAATATGGCGTCCATCGAATCACCTTAATTTCCATAATTGTATAGGGTTCATTCAGAGTAATTTCGTATGAAGTGATTTCATACCCTCCTTCTGTGAGCCCCGTCCCGTTGACGATTGCACGACGCCTGTTTCATTTCCATTAGGTTGTAAAGTTCAAGCCTTCCATTCACACGTCGTTGTGTAATCTCGCGTCGCGATACAAGCTGAATTAAATGATCTGCTTTCCTCTTTGAAAGTTACTCAATCAGCTCAGGGCAGAGCGTCTTACCGTGTGACATTCAAAAAGCCAATCCGTCCCCTCACATTCCTCCGCTCCACGTCGACACCCGCAAAGCCTCTCGAATGGGGTGAGGTCCGAAGTCGTAAAGTTCTCAACTTTCAGCACACACAGTCGTGGGTGTTGATGGGTGGGTATAAGCGTACGAAAAAATGAAGGATATTTAGAGTCCGCTCAAACCTGAAAATGATGCTATGAGGAATCTAAATCACTCACAAAAGAACGGAGTTTTGTGAAACTTATGGAATACTTGAGACTTGAGAGCGAGAAAAGGGATCTAAGTGAAATAACGTCCCACTAACTTTCTATCTTTTCATCCATGTCGCCAACTCCAGTGATTTACCATCAGGTCAACACCATATGAATTCGCTCCTTTTAACTTTTCTGTATCCTTTTGTGGTTCTCTCGCAACTGTGATGAAAAAAATAAAACGGAATTAGAAGCGAAAGAAAAATGATGAAGGAATGAAAATAAAAATATGATCCTGCGATCAAAACAATTAAAAATCCGCGGAAATGTATGTAAAATAATTTAAACACACCGGAACTGTATAATAATTTAAATGTGTCTCACATTTTGGGAGCTTGTTCTAGCAAAGGTTCATTTTTTGTACTAAAACATACACTATAATTTGCTTAAGAAAAAATCTGTATATTTTCAGTTTGTCCTTAAGTACAGTCATTTTCCGCTCGTATCTTCAATACTCAAATTGTTTCATTTATTCGTATGAATAATTACCCGTTTTTTAGTTTGACGGAAACTCATAATGGTACACTTAATTTTTTATATCATCCTCTATTATTTTCAACTCATTGTTTGTGTTAATATAACAAAAACAACAACAACAACATCATAATGAACATTAATATCAACAGTTTTGCAACGGGTGTATTGAATAATCAACTAACCTCGCCAACTAGAACTTATTACTATACACTTACGTGCGCAACTGCGCATGTCATAGATTGAGAATGTCTGTTGTGTGTCTCAAAGTGTCTCCATATCCTTTAATCACTCATCTCTTTTGGTTTCCTGCCTTTAAGTGTATCCAGTGTTAGGTGGATACGTCAGTATCGTAGGGA